GGGGTGATAACAATATCAAGCAGGAGGTCGCGCTCATGAAGGGCTCGGATGAGTGACCCTCGCCACTGTCTTCTAGATGGAGGTCGGCCTTGGACAGCAGGAGTCAAGTTGGCTTGGACATAGTTGCCCCGAGGATCCCGTAGAATGGAAACGGTAGTTATTAGGCAAAACTCCTGGACAAGATCCTGTAAGGGGGAAAGACCAAGTTCTGTATATAGAGAAGTAGAGCGTGTCCACTGAGGAGCCCCAAGGATGATACGAGCAGCTTTCCTCTGGATAACTTCGATACGGTTGACAGCAGTCCGACTAATGTTGACGAGGGCAGAGGCGGCGTAGTCAACACAGGAACGGACAAAGGACTTGTACATGGTGAGAAGTACAGGGATGGTGGCACCAAGGGAACCCCTGCATATGGTAGAGAGGGCAGCGAGACGCCAAAAGCATATGTCTCGAAGATAACGGACTTCAGAGATCTAACAAAGTGTGCGCGTTACTTACACACCCAGGTATTTTGTCTCATTAATCCAGTCTAAGGGCGTTCCTGTTGAAAGAAAGGGGGAGAGGTACAACACGACCGTGCCACATGACTTTTGTTTTCGCAGTTGAAAGGATGGAACCAAGTGAATCACTCTCTCTTGAGACCAAATCAAGGGCTTCCTGCATGACGGGGTAGTCAGGAGCTTGGTGGAGGACATCGTCAGCATATCCTGAGTGGACAACTTCTGTCGGCCACGAGAGAGATGCAATGGAGTGCATGAGAGTGTTAAACAAGGTGGGACTCAGGACTCCACCTTGAGGGGTGCCGAGGTTCATTCCTTGAACAGGAGATATAGAACCTTCAACGCGAACCCGAGCCTGACGTCCAGTGAGGAAAGAGACGATCCATCGAAGAAGTCTCCCTTTAACCCCTAACTGCGCAAGTTCAGCTAAAATGAGGGCAGGCTGAGCCGCATCAAAGGCTCCCTTGATATCAAGGAAGACGGAGATGCGGGCAGTCTGATTGCAATAAAATGAAGCAATGGAGTGTGCTGTGCTGCTATGTTGTATGAAATCATTGAGGGAGTTGTGGAAGCCGCCTATGGTGTGAAGAAGGCGACGATGGAGTATCCTCTCCATCAGCTTGCAAACACAGGAGGTAAGACTAATGGGTCGATATTTCCCAGGATCTCCCGGCTTAAGGATGGGGATAATAGTGACATTTTTACAGTTAGGCGGGAGAACCCCATGTTCATAAGACATAGTTGGCAATCTGTATTCCACCATGGAACTCTTATTGCGGTGAGTTGTAGAAATCATCTGAATAGATTTAGTTGTCGCATTGATGATTGTATCGTCAATTGGTTTGATTTTAGTGTTCATGTCTGCATCAGGGCAGTTCACTACAGTTTCCCTCGTGAGTAACCTCCAATCTACCTTCTTCAAATTAAATTGACTCCTCAGAGCGGCATCCGTCAAGCCGATTTCATAAATGCAAATCGGGAAATGGTCACTACCCAAGGGGTCGTCGTAACCATCACATCTTGTGTCAGGGTATAAAATCCCATCGACTATAGATAAATTTATAATTGATATGGTGCCGTATCTGTCATCTAATCGAGTTGCACTACCGTCATTTAGCAGCGATAGGCTGGAATTTATGATATAGTTCGCTACCGTCCCTCACTCTCAAGTGAGGGACGGATTCTGGATAATCCCCTAGACATTGCCACCTGTCTCGCCCACCAGTTCATGAAAGTCGGTAGCTCCGTGAACTATGATCCTCAGTTCGCCCTTGAGAAGGAGAGGGCTGAGAGAATGCCCCTGTCCTTTGACGGTGGGGGGTAGCAGGATTATAACCGTGAGCTTTCCATAGACGAACTCGACCATGCTTTGAAATTCTACAAGGGAACCAATCCTGGACCGGATGGGATTACATACGAGATGCTACAGCACCTGAGAAGGGTAGACCTACTCATGGAGCTGGGTATCTACAATGAGATATGGACGTCAAGGGCGTTCCAAGTCTCTTGGAGATAAGTGCAAGTGGTACCTTACGAATCCAAGCTCGAACCCAAGCTCGTTCCGACCTGTAGCGCTCACAAATTGTCTATATAAAGTCATAGAGAGAATTATAATCCTTAGGCTAATGTTCTACTTAAAAAAAATTCTAAGCGCTCAACAATGTGGTTTACGCCATGGCAGGAGTACACTAGATCATCTAGTAAGGTTGGAATCAGATTTAGATTTTTGGTTGTGAAAATGGATGAAAAATAACTGGTTAGATTATTGCTCATTTCTCCGTCATTATCAGTTAGATCGCTGGTATCTCTGTCTGTATTGGTCCAATCTTGTCTCGAGTCTTAGTTAGATACATTTAGAAAAATCCCTTAGGGTTTGACTTCACCTCCCTTGCTACCTTCAGTTCATTATTCCTATTTGCTTTTCTTATATCTGTCTTAACCCTACTGGTCAGTACTTTGTAATAAATTCGGAGGTAAACGTCACCACGATTTTAAGTCCTACCTATAGCCCTGAACGACGAAGATGCTAACCGGTCACTCACACAGCCAGGTCGAAGTGGAAAAATCCTTTCACCCGAGAGAAGGATGAAACCAGCAGGCCGGATGAATAGGGTAATCGGGGTTATCAGCGGACGCTCACCCAATTGACGGCAATAATGCAGAATATGAAAGATCATATGGAGGAAGTGCAGACATTGGGCGATAAGGAGGACTTTGGTGAGATGCTGTCAGTACCAGGAGGAAAGCCTTTTCTGGAAACAAGTGAGGGGATGACAATCGCGACGAGGTATCCACGAAACACGTTGTCAACCGCTGGAACCAGAAGTGTCTAGCTGCTACACCTCGACACCCACCCAAGGAGGGTTCCCAACACTCAGCGCCTCAGAGTCGGGAACATCTCATTAGGGGGAGAGGGAACATGTTTCCACCCGTCATACCCACTTTACGGAAGTAGTGACACCAACAGAAACCCAGTAGAAGGAAAACCAAGTACAAGATATACAGCGAGAACGCCCAGGACGAATGGAAGGGAGGCCATCGGACACGATGCTACCAACCCAGAGACTGGAAGAGTTAATGGCCACTATGAAGCTTCCCCAGAGGCCGATGCCGAGGTTCAGCGGAGGGACTTGTGACGAGTATTGGGAGTTCAAGCATGCCTTCCAAAGACAAATTGGGGAGGTGCCCATACCCTATGCACTAAAATTGGAAACACTTCTCTCGGCCTACACCGGCCACTCTAAGAAATCCCTAAGAGCGTGCCTGCAAATAGAAGATCCAGGTCAGGATACGAACAAGCTCTAGCCTTGCTAGAAAAGCGTTATGGCAACAAGCAAGCCTACATCCAAGAACTAATAGGTATGGTCCTACGTAGCCCAGCTGTGAGAACAAATGACATTAAAGGTCTTCAGGAGCTCGTGGACGATCTGGGAAATTGCGTAAACGACTTAAAGGTACTGGGAAAACTGCACGAAATTGACACGTACGAATTACTGAATACTTTGGCTGAGAGATTCACGGGAAAGATCAGGGAGCGATTCGAGGATAGAACATATGACTATGAAAGGAGACACGGGAATTCTCCAGAGGTCGAGTGGATGAAGGATTTTTGTACTGGAGATGCTGGACAGGACAAGGAGGGCTTCGAAGGGACGAAGACAAGAAAAGCCGAGAGGGAGACGAACAGGCTCACACCCATACCTTTCCTCATCAGAAAGGAGACCTGTGGGCCTAGTGATTTCGGGAAGAGAGGAGGTTAGAGGAAAGGACGACTGCACTTGCCCGTTGTGCCCTGGATATCACCCTCTGCAGAGATGCCAAGCATTCCTCAACATGTCGACTGGAGCGCGAACTTCACTCGTTCGTGAAGAACGTCGCTGTTTCACCTGCTTAGATCGCGGTCACAGGATGGCCGAGCGCATCCAGGAGACAAGGTGCGGCATAGATAGCTGATATAGCTTCCACTCGAATCTCCTGCACTTCTCGAGAAATTCTATATGCAATACCACGCCAAACCAGGACGAACCATCGAGAAAGGAACTCTTAGCCAGTTTTTTCAAGGGATAAAAGGAGCTTCCACCATGGATGCACACCAGTCCGAAGTGTCGCCCGACCACAAGCGGCAGAAGCTAGGTGACTGTCAACTCAAGGCCATCATATCAGCACCGAAATCAACGACCAGTGGAGCTAGGCCATGGAAACCCGAATCCAGTTCGAGAGCTACGGAGGAAACGGCTGAAAACGGGCAGGTTGCACTGGTGACCACGAACCGAGAAAACCCGTATAAATGGGCCAGAGATACTTACGATCGAGAAAATGACCAGTGTGAGGGGCTCGAAGATTATGACATGTGAGATTTTAGATTTTTTTTGGTTGCCCCAGAAGGGGCTAGTTTATTGGGCACCCCCTTACATCCTGTGCAAGGTGAAGACATATGACTAGCAGATCAAGGCAGCGTTGCACTCCCCATATTAAAGGTCAAGGTCGGGGAGATAATGCGAGAAACGAATAGAACAGTGATCGCCGGAGCACAACTTGGACTCAGGCAGCAACAGGTCTTACTGCACCGAGAGCCTAGCCAACCGACTACGTATAACAGGGAAGTCTGTTTCAATCTCCATAGGCACGATCCTGAAGGAGACAAAGAGCGTGAAGGCCAAAGAGATCGATCTGAAGGTGACTAGCGTCGGAATAAGAAGAAGTCGATCCATCAACATTCCCAGAATCCTCGTTAGGTTGCGGACACTAGAGACATTGCCAAGTGGAGGCACCTCCAAGGAACCAAGCCACTCCACGCACCGGAAAGAGTGGATCTCCAGATAGGATTGGTTATACCACAAGCCTTAACACCGTTAGAAGTAAGGACCGGTGAGAACGGAGAGCCGTTCGTGGTGCGCACACTTCTAGGATGGAAAATAAATGGGCCAGTATCTCCCACATCTCCCAGTATTGAACCAAAATAAGCCCGGGAAGTTGAGAATAGTTTTAGACTGTGCAGCAATGTATAAGTCAGTGTCCCTGAACAGCCAAGTGATGCAAGGGTCAGACCTCAACAACAAATTGATGAGAGTCCTCATTAGGTTCCGCCAAGAAAGGGTGGCACTCATGGCTGATATCGAGGCTATGTTCCACCAGGTATGAGTACTGCCTGAGCATCGAGACGCCCTGCACTTCCCGTGGTGGACAAACGACCAACTATCGGGTGGGATGAGCAAATGACCAAACACAACAGAGCTGCTTGGCGGCAGTGGATAAATGAACTTCCCTTCTTGTCTCAAGTACTCACCCCTCGATGTTACCAGCCTAAATGTGCAAAAAATAACTACGGTATAACTGCACCACTTTGGCGATTCCTCCCAGCAAGCATACGGGGCTGTATCCTACCTCAGGATCACAAGTGGAGACGGAGCCCACTCTTCCTCCTTTTTGTGTGGCAGAGCCAAGGTAGCTCCTCTGAAACAGCAAACCATACCCCGGCTCGAGCTATGTGCGGCAGTGTTAGCGTCCAAAGCAGACAAACAACTGAGAGAAGAACTAGCGTTGCAGATCGACAGATCAGTGTTCTGGACAGACAGCATGGTTACCCTTCACTACATACGAAATACAGGACGGCGCTTCCATACCTTTGTGGCAAACCGAATTGTAACGATAATGAGAATTCTGACGCAGAACAGTGGCGACACGTGAGCTCCAACCAAAACCCAGCTGATGATGCCAGCCATGGACTGCATGGGGCAGAATTGAACAAGGACTGCAGATGGATTCAGGGACCTCCCTTTCTTTGTTAAAAAAAAAAAAAAAAAAAAAAAAAAATAAAAAAAAAATAATAAATAAATAAAATATTATCCAAAGAACCCAAAGCCGATTCCTAACCTTGCAGATGGAGATCCGGCGATAAAAGGAGAAGCAACAGTATTGGTAACGAGCATTGACCAGGGGGAGAGTACCATAAAAAGGGCTATGGGTAAGGTCCTCCTCATGGCATAAGCTACTGAAAGGTGTGGCGTGGTTCCGGAGGTTCATACAGTGGCGCTTCAGCAATCCAAAGGAAGAACATCACCAAGAAGATCGACTGAAGATCAGCGAGTTGGATGAGGCAATATTAGCTGTCTTGAGCCTGATACAAAGGAAGGGATTTCCTCACGAGATGGATGCGCTGGAACGAGGACACTCCATCAGGACTGGTGACGTAAGCAGACTGGAACCTTACCTGGGTGCAGACGGCCTGTTCAGAGTAGGTGGCCGACTGAAGCGTGCTGCTCTGGATCCAGACCAAAGGAGCCCCATACTGTTACCCAGGGACAAAACCACAGAACTTATCGTACAAGAGGTACATTCGACCAGGGCTGGCCACTCAGGACACGAGCTCAGTCTAGCAGCGTTACGCAAGACATATTGGATACCCAAGTGCCGTAAGTTGATCGACCGCGTACTACGTACGTGTGTAATTTGTCGAAGAAGCAATTGGAAGCCTACCCACCAACGCCGAGCTGACCTGCCAGAGGACTGGGTACATCCAGAAGATCGGCCATTCATCCGCACCGGAGTCGACTGTTTTGGTCCCTTCATGGTTAAACAAGGCCGGGCCCGGGCGAAAAGATGGGGTTGCTTGTTTACATGTCTGGCCACCCGAGCTATACACAGACTCATTCATCAACGCCATGACGAGGCTCACATCCCGCAGAGGACCTCCCTAGCGCATCAGACCCGACAATGGAACCAACATGATTGGAGCGAACAGAGAACTTCGGGAGGCGGTGAGTAAGTGGAACAGCAGTGACAATGTTAGGAACCCACTCTTGTAGAGGCAAAAGAATGGGAGTTCAACCCTCCGACTGCCTCTCACATGGGTGGAGTATGGGAGCGTCAGATCCGCACGGTGAAGAAGGTTCTCCAGGGGGTAATGGGCACACAGGTACTAGACGACGAGCGACTCAACACCCTGTTCTGTGCCGTGGAAGAGATCGTCAACGGGAGGCCCATCACCCTAGTATCCGATGACCCGAGAGACCTAGTAGCACTTACTCCGCTTCACCTACTGCGAATGCACGCGGGAACCCTGCCCACTGGAGGCGATCAGTCCATAGCAGAAGCGTACAGACAAAAATGGAAGCATGCCCAATTCATTGCAAACCAATTCTGGAAGAGATGGGTTAATGGAATATCTCCCGACACTCCGGCAGTGACAGAAGCACTTCCGGGCACACCGCAACTTCCGCACTGGAGACATCGTCATCATATCTGGATATCCTCTCACAAGGAGCCAATGGATGCTGGGAAGGGTATTGGAGGCGGTACCAGGTGGCGTGCCAAAGTATAGACGAAGGACTCAGTGTTAATACGTCTAGTGACAAAGCTCTGCCTATTGGAGGGAGTCGGAGAGTGAGGCTCCCGGCAGACAATGGGTTTCGAGCAAGCTCAACAGGTGGAGTGTTACCGCCACAGTAGAATAAACTAGAAGGGAGGGAGAGAGAGAGAGAGAGGAATAGAGAGAGAGAAGGGGGGGACAGGAGAGAGAGGGAGTATTGAAAACGAGCTGTGCTGAGGTGTGAAACAGCTGGCCCTCGCCTTCGGCTGACAAGCTCGAGCAGTCTCTATCCGTCCAGTGAACTATCAAGTCAGGAAGTTAATAAGTCCTACATTAGACCCGAAACACGTAAGTTTTAAATGGTTTAACAACCTACTCTACTCAAAAATATTATTTGTAGTCGTTAATAGTGATGGAACATACGATTGAATTATCATCTCACACGTAACATATGTAATTTGTACTCTGCAGGTTTTGACCGAAAAACGAACAATCGAGTCCTACGTGCAAGGGTCTCCTTATCCCACAGTCGCTCATTAGGCGGTTATAATGACTGGTGAAGATGACCTGATCACGAGATGTGAGGTTGACGAATTCCATAATAATTTAAATGAAGAGTTACTTAATGTACAAAGGCAGAATATACCATACACAGAAACTCAGATCAAATAAAAATTACCCCAAATGGATAAGTAATTATTTAAAGAATATTATTGGACAAAGGAAGGCAATAGGAAATGGAATAAATCATGATGAAGTTTACCTCCGAGATTATTATAAAGTATTAACCAGTAGGATTAAGACCGATATAAGAAAATCAAAGGGGATTAATGAACTGAAGGTAGCACGGAAGGCGACGTCAAACCCCAAGGGATTTTTCCAAATGTATCTAACTAAAACACGAGACAAATCTGGACCAATTCAGTCAGATACTCTAATCTAACTGATAACGACAGAGAAATGAGCAATAATCTGGACATATATTTTTGAACAGTTTTCACCTCCGATAATTCAAACATGATACCCGAGGCACCGACTACATGCAAAGAGAGTGAAGAAAATAGATTGAGTGAGTTAGTAGTGACTATTTTTATTTTTATTTATTTTTTCTTACGGGATTAGCCCACCAGGGCTGGGGGCGAAAATTTAATAATAATAATAATAATAATAATAATAATAATAATAATAATATTATTATTATTATTATAAATAATAATAATTAAAAACCATAAAAAATTAAAAAATCAAGAGTGAGAAATGATATACTGTATGTATGTTATATTGTCAATAGTGAGAAAAACAATTGATACTCTGCAATTGTGTGTAAATGTGGTAGAAAGTCAGGCCAGCAACCTGGGACTTGGTCACAATTTTTGTGATGCCATATGGCAGCAGGGTCTACGATTAGACAATACATTATGCTTCCAATATCTTCCCACAAAAGTCCCATCGCTTCTCCTCCTGAACCACGAACCCCGTGATTCAGACTCGTGAACCCGAAGCAGTAGACACAGATACAATATTCTGTCCATAAATGCTTCGGCTTCACGAGCCTGAATCTCGGGGTTCGTGGCTCAGGAGGAGAAGCGACAGGAATTTTGTGGGTGACTGTACCTCCCGTTTTGATAGCTGTCTACTAAAACCTAATAAGTCACCTGGTCCCAATGAGGTATTTGCCAGAGTATTAAAGGAATGTAAGGAAGAATTTAGTATGCCATAAGCAAATTTGTTTAACATTTAATAAAAAAACGGGTGGGGTACCAGGATCCTAGAGGATAGCAAATATAATACCGATTTTCAAGAAACGAGATGGATCACTATCCTTTAACTACCGATCCAATCAGTTTAACATCAAATGTAGGCAAATTACCAGAAGCAATAATTTCAAACTCTTCGAAAAGCACAAGTTGATCAACGATTCCCAACATGGCTTCACAAGTGGGTGTTCATATCTGACAAATCTATTTACATTCTTTTCTACTGTTTTCGAATCAGTGGATGACGTTGGTATAACTTTCAATACAAGTTTGTTTTTCATGGCTGAATTTACAATTTATGATTCGTTAAAGTGAAGAGCACTGAGACGACAAGTTTCATTACATTCTGTTCATAATTTATGAAAGTCCTACCCTCTGTCGTTCACAGACCAGCACTTGCTCCTGTGGTGATAATTATTATGGTCATGAATAAAATTTGATGTGCAATATTTGAGTATATAATTACTTTTCCTTGTTAGAGTGCAAAATCTTATTGATTAGGTATCACGTATTTCCGATATAACTAGTTATCACGGACGTAAACTACTGTTGTCACGATTATGAAAATAGGTTGCAGTTTCACCAACACAATGTTTTTGACCATTCAGGACATTCGTGCCGAGAACCTGCCCAGAGTTTCTTATAGTGTGATGGACATAAATACCCCCGTTCTTCTACGGCTCGGCGTCCAGTCTACATCAGAGTTTTGAGGTTGGAAGTCGCCCTCGGGGCTCTGAGGGAGGGTCGATTAATGTTGGCCCGGAGTTTGACGATGACCCAATAGGGTCGTCGCCCCGACTCAACACTGAGTAAAGAGTCAGCTTGGTGACAATAGACAGACATTCGGGTCGGGCTGGAGGTAACTTCCCGGCCCAAATGGTAAGACCGAGTTTTGAGAAGGCCGAGAATAGAAGGCCGAGAAAAGAAGACCGAGAATAGACGTCCGAGAATAGAACACCGAGAAAAGGGAGATCAAGGAAATAAGAACAGAATATGAAGACAGTAATAAGACTCAAAATTACGGGCTATTCCATGTAAAAAAAAAAAGGCCCAACAAGTATCGAACATAGAGAAATTAACAGGATTAAGATTCAGGTGGAAGCCTACACGGAGGATAACTTGGTGTTGGGAGTAATCTCTCACACCAAGATAAACCATCTTGAGAAAGATGGGCTGGTCGACCAAATCGGAGACCAGTTCACAATAGTAAGGAAGCTGATCTAGTAAAGTACTACTGGGATGGGAGACCATCCCAGTAAGTCCATTTGAAAGGAGACCGACAAGCTGCTATAAAGGCCAGAGTTATAGCCATCTGGCAAGGAAGTGACAGGCTCGGGAAATCTGCGCCATTTGCGCCATTTGCGGGGCACCCGAGCACCAGCACACCACGTGCTCGGCGGCCGACAAGAAATGCGCACCTTGTGGCGGCCCTCACTCCTTCTCCGACTAGGAGTGTCCCAAGTGGAGGGAGAAGTGCAAAGTAGCTAAGCTGCAAAGCAAGAAACAACTGAGCCACAAGGTAGCTTTTCTTATAGTAAAGAAAGAAGAAACAAGAACCAAGAACCAAGCAAGGCTGAAGAAAAGAAGAAAAAAGAAACACAAAAGACATATGAAAAGAAAAAAAGAAAGAACAACAAGAAACTGATATACTAACAGTAAGACCTTCAGAGCTCATCGAACTTTACGAGTATATACTAGAACTAGACCAGGAAGAATTAGGGAAGTTAAAAGCCAAAGAAAGAAAGAAAGAGGTCAAAGACCATAGATGTTGATGGGCAGGAAATCCCACAAACGACAACAACCGGTTTTCACATTCTGGAGACATCTCTCTCTGCTCCCTAGGTACCACGTGGATATGACGCTGCATCTAATATACTATAGGACTAGGTGTGTGTGTGTGTGTGTGTGTGTGTGTGTGTGTTTCTGCTCTGGGCAGCCGAAACGGCACAATCGTTTTTCATCAAACTTGGTGCAAAAATCGAAAAAAAAATCGTACAGTGGAACAAACCTGGTCCCATATCGATGGTTTCTTTAGGAAGCCATTACATAACTGTTACAAACCACGCCATCTATTGTCATGATCTACCTACCCAGCACTACGAACCACGCCATCTATTGTCCTGATCTACCTACCCAGCACCACGAGCCCAGCACTACGAACCACGCCATCTATTGTCATGATCTACCTACCCAGCACCACGAGCAACGCCATCTAGGGACGAAACCCGAGTATGACTAGTCTTAGTCACCACTCCTGGGTTTCCCTTCTCCATATCCTGGTTGTTGCGTCACCTCCTCCAAGTCTTCCTCATCAGCTCCAGATCGAGGAGAGTTCAGTTCACTCTGGGAAATGACCACACTAGGATCACCTATCCTGGAAACCTACTGCACAGTGACTTCCTACCATCTTCTTCAATACTCAGCCTTACTCGTCAGACATCTCAGCTCCGCACTTAAGTATTTGTTATCCTATATTGCCTCCTCACCTCCACTTGCTTCAAATTGTTGTATGTTGTATAAATATGTATATACAGTTAAGTCAATGTTGCGTATGTTTAGGTTAAGTATGGTTAAGGGTAAATTATAGAAAGCTGAATATTTTGTTAAGGAATTTATGGTACTTTATTATACACAACAAAAACTCCCATCCTTTGTCTACCCTTTTACAGTCAGATTGTCTTTGTTTGTTTAAGTTTTTTT